AACTGAGGGCCCAAGAGAGAAATTCCGGAGGCTTTCAAGCCAGACTTGTCTTAGTGGTGTCTCCACCCACAAGGAGACCGGAAGCTGTTTGTGGGGATGCTGAACAAGCAGCAATCAAGAGGAGACGTGCCGCGGCTGTTCCAGCCCTTCGGGATCATAGACGAGTGCAACGGTGCTCCGGGGGCATGATGGCAGCAGCAAAAGGTGACAGGCCCGAGCTGGAGCTGCCCCCTGGGGGCAGGGCTGGGGACACAGGGGGGCAGGGGCGGCGCCCGAGGCGGGCGGGGTTGGGATCCCGGGGGCGGCGCCCGCGCGGAGGGGCACTGGTGGGTGGGGCCCGAGGGTGGGCGGGGCCAGCTGCTTGGGCGGGTGGGTGGAGTCTGGTCCTACTGGCTGTCCATCTGGGGATGCCTGTCTCCACCTGACTCTGTCCATGGGACTGTTTCCACCGGGATTTGCCTGTGTTCTGTGTAGGTACACCCCCCGTTCCTATATGGCTGCACCTTCTAGGAATGATTGTTTAATGACCTCCACAGACATGTTTTCTTGTCTGCCCATGTGACTGTATGTGACTAGGGCTGAGTATCACTCCTCCTGCACCTCTGTCTCTGACTCTTCCTGCCGGGTATCCAAATGACCACTTCTGTATGGGTCTTCGTGTGTCAGGTGGTTTCTGGCTGTCTGTCCACCCGATTCTGCTCATGTGATTGGCCGGCTGGGTCTGCCTTTGTATGGTGACTTATCCCCATTTCTCCAACTCTGGTCACATGCATCGATCCATCTGGGTCTGAGTGCATCTCTGCCTGGGAGTGCACAGGACCATATCTCTCTGCATCTGTGCCTCATGGTTTGTCACTTTAATTCTGCACATCTGATTACAACTCTGGATCTCCTAGTGTTGGTAGCTGGTGGGTGTTCTCTAAGCCTGCCCCCATCACTTGATTGTGGGTTTGACAAACAGCTATCTGGCTGGCTGGCTTTCTGACTAAATGGATGGCCGATTGGCTGACTGTCAAACTCCATGGCTGGTTGTGTGCTTCTCTTACTGTCTCATCCTTCATTGTCCAGCTCTGTCTGAGCAAATGGCTGGCTGGCTCTCTGTCTGACTTGCTGGCTGCATGTGTCTGATGCTCACTGGCCATCCAGGGTCCCCAGCCCCCGCTTCGGTGGTCCTGCCTACCCAGAAATACCCCATTGCCTCTTCCCTGTTCTTCTCTTGGCGCAGGCTGTGCCTTCGTGAAGTTCTCCTCCCACACGGAGGCTCAGGCGGCAATCCACGCCCTCCATGGCAGCCAGACCATGCCGGTGAGTAGGAGCCCTAGGCCAAGGTGGTGGGCGTGGGAAAGGGGTAAGGGGGCCCTGTTCCTACCATCCCAGCCACCTGGTAGTCCTTGGTTCTTCCTCATAGTGGGCATAGGTGGAAAAGGGGGCAGTTCTGGTGATGGTGTGAATGGGTGTATGTGTCTGTGTGATTGTACATATGTGTGAATGTATGTGTGTGAAAGAATGTACTGCCAGTGTGTGGCTGCATGTGTGTGTGTGTCTAAGAGAGCATGTGAGAGTGCATGCATGTCTGTGTGAGTACATGTGTGCAAGCATGTTAAGTGCATGAGTATGCCCAGGTGATGTGGGGGGAACAAGTACATGCATGTGCCTCTGTAGGTGTGTGTGTGAGGGTTTGTGAATATGTGTGTGGATGAGTACATGTGTGTATGTGTGGGTGATGGCATATGATTGTGTGCATAGTGACTGTATATACTTAGGTGTGTACTTGTGGGATTTTGTGCATGTGTATGTGAATGCATTGTGCAAGTATGTGTGAGCATGCATGGTGAGCATGTATATGTGAGTGCTGTGCATGACTGAGCGTACGCGGCGAGTGGATGTGTGTGAGAGCACGTGTATGTGTGTGTGAGTATACAGGAGGGGTGAGACCTGAGGGTGGATGGGATTTGCTGAGGCCAGCAGGGGGACATGAGGGTGTGGGGAGTGACAAAACCAAAGGCAGGATCGGAATGGGGGGCCCCAGAGGAGCTGGGGAGGATGGGCTAGAGGGGCCTGCAGTTTAGGCTGAGGCGCACAGATTCCTCCTATGGCCATGGGGAGCCACAGAGGGTTCGACAGGGAAGGGAAGATGTCCGGTTTAGTTGGAAATGTCTCTTTGGGGCCAGAGTAGGGGTGAGCAGAAGCAAGACTGGAGCCAGGAACTTGTGGGTCAGCAGTGGTGTGAGGCTGGGAAGGACCACCCGGTCACTGGGGTGGCCCTGGCCCAGGAAGGAGGCTCTGGGAACCATCTTCACTGTATGTAAGTGTCTAAATCTGCATGGGGAAGACAGCCTTGGAGAACCAACTTGCCTCTCAGTTCTTGAAAATGGGTGTGGAGTGCAGGGCAGTCTCAGAAGAGCAGGCACAAGTTTACTTCCTGGACAGGCAGGATGTAGCTCATCACCAGGTCAGGCTTCCTCCTACTCAGAGCTGTCCAGCGATGGGCTGGCAGGCATAACAGGGAGTGAGCTCCCCATCAAAGAGGGCATGCCACCCTCTCTGATGGTGGGAATCTAACCTGTTCTCAGGTGCAAGGTGCCATTTGCAGAGTTATCCATCTGTGCCCCATTCCTCTCTGGTGACTGGATTCTCACCCGTTCTCAGGTGTAGGTGACAATTATAGGGTCCTCCACCCAGGCCGCCATGTTCCTCTCCAGCAGGTGGATTCTCCTTCTGTGTGTGTGTGTGTGTGTGTGTTTTAAGATTTGTTATTGATTTTTAGAGAAAGAGAGAAACACTGATTGGCTGTCTCCTGCACGCCCCCTACCAGGGAGCCTGTAACCCATGCATGTGCCCAATAGGAATCGAACCAGAAACCTGTTGGTGCATGGAACAACATCCAACCAACTGAGTCACGCTGGCCAGGGCTCCTCCTGTTTGGGGGAGTGTGCCTGAGAGTCAGGGTCCTCCACTGTACCCTAGACACAGCCCCCTGGGCCCAGATGCCTCACCTGTGTGCAGGGGTGGTTGCATCGTCAAGTGCGAGACCCAGGACTCTGATCTTCGGGTTGTCTCCCTGTGGTGCCCAAAGTCTGCAGCAGGGGCTCGTGGACAGGGCCAACAGCTGTTGCTATCTGTAGCCCTCACCAGAGCTGGTGTGGTTCTGGGGACCCCAGATTCCTGGTTACCTCCCTCCTTTTTTTCCTTCCTGCTTGTGGCTGCTCCTGCAGGGTGCCTCCTCCAGCCTGGTGGTCAAGTTTGCCGACACAGACAAGGAGCGAACACTACGGCGCATGCAGCAGATGGTGGGCCAGCTGGGCATCCTGACACCGTCCCTCACCCTGCCCTTCAGCCCCTACAGTGCCTATGCGCAGGCCGTGAGTGACCCCAGCAAACAGGCTTTTGTCTCCAGTGGGACTTTCAAGACTACTCTGCGGATCCAGCTCAGTCTCTCTCTCTCCATCTAAGTCTCTGTTGAGGGGTTTGGCCTCTCTGCCCATCTTTATTTTATTTTTTTATTTTAAATATATTTTTATTGATTTCAGAGAGAAAGGGAGAGGGAGAGAGAGATAGAAACATCAATGATGAGAATCATTAATTGGCTGCCTCCTGCATGCCCCCTACTGGGGATCGAGCCTGCAACCTCCTGATTCATAGGTCGATGCTCAACCACTGAGCCACACCGGCCAGGCTCTCTGCCCATCTTTCTGTTTCTTGCCTAGTCTCTCTGACTCAGGGTCCTATTCTGGCCATGGCTGAGCCCACAAATCCAGGCTGATTCCCAAGCCCCACACCTAGCTGAGCCCCCAGCCATAAACTGAGCCCTGAGCCCAAGCTGAACTTCTACTTGGACTGACATGACCCAATGTTCAGCCCCCAAATAATTCAGGTCAAGCTTCAACCCTGAACAGAGACCAAACCCAGACTGAGCCTCTAAGTCTCAGTTAAGTGTTAAGTGTTGGCTGAGTTAAGTGTTGGCTGATCCCTGATCCTAGATCAAGACCACATTCTTGACTGGACCCAGATCCCTGGATTAGCCATGATTCCTGTGAGCCCTGATCCAAGGCTGAGCCCCATTTCCTGACTGATCCCTGACCCTGGCCTAAGCCAAGATATCCAGCCTGACCCCCCCTAGCTACTGGAGGACCAGGCCTCCCCCTGGGACCTATGACCTCAGGGCAGGTGCCACCCTGACTGTGCATCTTGACTCCCTCTCCACCCCCAGCTCATGCAGCAGCAGACAACGGTCCTGTCCACCTCAGGCAGCTACCTGAGCCCTGGCGTGGCCTTCTCACCCTGCCACATCCAGCAGATCGGCGCCGTCAGCCTTAATGGGCTGCCTGCCACACCCATCGCCCCTGCCTCTGGTGAGAGTCTGCCAGAGGCCCAAGGACGGGTGGGCAGGGCCAGAACCAGGCCCAGGCTCCTCATGATGTTCTTCTGCTCTGCAGGACTGCACTCGCCCCCACTGCTCAGCACTGCCGCCGTGCCCGGCCTCATGGCTCCCATCACCAACAGCTTTGCAGGTGTCGTGCCCTTCCCTGGCGGGCACCCTGCCCTAGAGACTGTATATGCCAATGGCATCATGCCCTACCCAGGTAACTTGGGTGGTTCCCCAGGGCCTAGGAGAGCATGAGGGGGCAGGACGGTGTCTCTAGGACAAGCATAATTTCCTGTGTCTTGATGCCCCATGGAACAGAGAGGCAGAACAATGGGAGTCTCTGCTGAGCAGATATGTGCTGGGGGCACAGAGAAAAAGGTTAAACATAGGAAATTTGCACCCAGACATTTCTGGGTTCATATTTCTTGGGTGATGCCTTTAAGTCTCTGAGTTTCAGTTTGCTCATCTGTGAAATGGGGCAGATAACATCAGTCACCTCATGAGGTTGCATGGACAATGAAATCAGTATGAAAAAATGATTAACACATCACCTAGTACTAAGAATGGAACCATCAATCTTAATTATTAATTGTTACTATTTGGAAAGATATCAGTACCAGGATTCATTCATTCATTCACTCATTCATTCACTCAGTATTGACCATGCACTGATTTGAGCTGGGCTCTGCCCTCATGAAGCAGAGGTCCCACCTTTCCCACTATACCATGATTTCAAGGCAAACATGTTCCAACGCCTTGCTGAAGTGAAGTAAGTCATCTGTCTTTACACCATTAAAGAGGATTTATTTTGATTTTGAAATGATTGAGGCTAACAGGGAGGTACCAAAATAATACACAGAAGTCCCGTGTACCCCTCACCCAGCTTCCTCCAATGCTAACGTCATAGATAATCACAGGGACATTGCCAAAACCAGGAAACTGACATTGGTGTGTACAGTGAACTCAACTGGAGTAGGAGAACTTATTCAGATTTCACTGCTTTTTACATGCACTTGTGTGTGTGTGTTTCTATACCATTTTATCACAGGTATAGATTCATGTAACCACCACCACAATCAAGATACAGAACTGTTCCAGCTTTACAAAGTAATTCATTTATGCAACCCCTTTACAGTCACAGCCCCCCACACACACACTGTTCCATCCTCTAGCAACCTCTCTCCATTCAAACGGAATCTTTTGGCTGAATTTTCTCGATTCACCAGCTCTGGTGGCCTGGACAAACTCTCACCTCTCTTAACTCCTCCACTAGGGCCATTGGGAAGGTCATAGCCACATAGGGGCCCATGGGGTGACTGCCAATGAGGTGTAGGGAGTGAGAGAGAGGAAGTGATAGGGGTGAGTGGTGGTCTGGAGCAGAGTCCTGGAGAATATAGAGAATAAAAGGAAGGAGCGAGGGGGCCAGGATAGGGGGAGAGAGAGATGGGAGTCATGTGTCAACCTCTCTGGAGTCCCAGAAACCTGGATTCCAGTTCGGCTTCTGCCATTTCCGATCTAAGTGGCCCTGTGCCAGTTACTTCACCTCTTTGAGCCTCAATTTCTCCACCTGTAAAATGGGAAGCATACCTGTACACTGTTCACGCAGAGGTGAAGCTGGGGCGGATGTCTGTTGCTCTCTTTTCCGCGCTTAAGAATTGGGGGTGGGTAGAAGTCTTATGTTGCTCCCGCCCCACTCAGCCCCTCCGTCTGCCCGCAGCTCAGAGCCCGACCATGGCTGAGACCCTCCATCCTGCCTTCTCCGGAGTCCAGCAGTACACAGGTAGGGAGGCACGCCGGCCGGCCCCGCAGGAAGCCCGCCCCGTAGAAGCCCCGCCCCCAGGGCTCGGCCCTTCCTCTTTCTTTCTCTAATCTTTCTTCCTACTTCTGGCCGTGGCCCAATCCCAGCGCTTTGCCCTGCTGGTCCCGCCCCTCAGATCCTGCCTAAGGTCGGCCTTGGCCCCGCCCCTAACCCGTGTCCCCGCCTCTCAAGTCCGGGCTGCTCTGTTGCCTGGGCCCCACCCCTAGGCCGGCTCTTCGTTGTGGCCCCGCCCCTCCTCCTTCCCAAGACCCACGATTGGCCCCGCCCTCAGCCTAGGCCCCGCCCCTAGAACTAGCCGCGCCGCTTGCGCCGGGCGCCCGCCGGCCTCACGCGGCTTCCGCTCCGGGTCTCCACAGCCATGTACCCCACCGCGGCCATCGCGCCCATCGCGCACAGCATCCCGCAGCCGCCGCCGCTCCTGCAGCAGCAGCAGCAGCGAGAAGGTGAGGGGGCCGCGACCTCCAGCGGGCGCCAGCCCCGCCCTCTGACCGCCCCCATCGCCTGCAGGACCCACCCCTGGCCAGGCCTCGGGGAACCGCGGGGCTGAGAGCTCGGCCCAGGGGACGGAGAGGCCGGGGTTCAAGTCCGGTGCCGTCCCTGGGAGTTTGGGGGGGCCACTGACTCCCCCTCTCCGAACCATGCTAGCTCGACCCCGTAGGCATAGAGGTGCCCTCTCCAAACCTGAATGATTCTCTGAATTTTTGGAGAGGAAGCTCATTGTGAGGTTGGGAAGAGGGGGTGCGTTATTTCGGCTAAACTGGAGCCTCCCCAGTAAAGTCGACGGTGCCAGAGTTAGGTTCTGGACTCGGACAACCGGAATTCAGATCCACCCGGTTCTGACTGTGACAAAAGGAAGGTACCTCACCACCCTGGGCCTCAGTTCCTCATCTCTAACACAGGCGACTGTTGGTGCCAAGAGGTGCGAGTCTGCAGTGGCCGCTCGGCACCGGGGAGACCCTCTGGTTCATCCAGCTGGTGCTGGGGGGGCGGGGAGGCTGGGGAAGGTGGCCATCCAGGAAAGCCAGGGCACTCCCCAAGGCAAGGGGAGCCTGGCCTGCAGACATGTCAATAAACAAAGATAGGACCCCAATAAACCGATAACACAGTTGTATCAACGTCAGATGGCCAAGAAATACATGGTACTGCAATGTGGTGGCACTTTATCTTGGAAAAGAGCCGAAATGTGCACGTGGAAGTGGCCTGGGAAGGCAGCTGCATGTGAGGGCCAGTGAACCAGTGGAAACAGGGTTGTTGGAAATGAGACAGGCTAGCCTCAGAGGGGGACAGGTACGGCTCCTCACACACTTGGGGGGCGGAGGAAGTTGGTGGGTGGTAGAGCCTATGGTAGAGCACGAACTTTGTTTTCTCATGAGGCTTGGTTCATCTGGGCCCGGGTTTCTGCATTCACCTAGTGCTTCCTGGCGACGAGAGAGCCTATAAGCAAACACAGAATTTGTGTTATGCGCATAATTGTTCCGTAACATATCAGTCACATTGGAACACACTTGCATTTTATACAACCAAAGACCTTGTATGCATATATGCATAACCCATGGGCGCAGACAATGGGGTGGTGAGGGCCTGGGGTGGGGGGTGGGAGTGGGCTGGAGGGGGTGGGGGAATGGTGGGGGCCAAAAGGGGACATATGTAACACTTTCAACAATAAAGATTTAGATAATAATAAATAAAAATGCAAACAATAAATAAATAAAAACAAGCATTGTAGCAGAACCGTGGTTCTAATCAGAAAGGTAGGGGGTGGATGTGATTGTGTGGTCTTGGATTTTGTATTTTCTGAGGTGGGGAATATTCATTGCGAGGGTAAAAGCAATTCTTGGTAGTTTGATCACTACCTTTGTTTTGGGGAGCATGGGAGCAAGTTTGGCTTCAGATAATCAGATTTTTATTTATTTTCTTTTTTATTGAATTTATTGGGGTGACATTGGTTAATAAAATTATATAGATTTCAGGTGAACAATTCTATGAAACATCATCTGTGTATTGTATTGTGTTCACCACCCCAAGTTAATCGAGTTTTTAAATGGTATTATTTATAGTTTGTGTATAAACCATGCATTGGGGATTATATGGGGAAAGGATGATTTTGAGGGTTAGCCATGTTTTTATTTTTTTAAAAATATATTTTATTGATTTTTACAGAGAGGAAGGGAGAGGGATAGAAAGTTAGAAACATCGATGAGAGAGAAACATCGATCAGCCGCCTCCTGCACACTCCCCGCTGGGGATGTGCCCACAACCAAGGTACATGCCCTTGACCGGAATCGAACCTGGGACCCTTGAGTTCACAGGCCGATGCTCTATCCACTGACCCAAACCGGCCAGGGCATGGGTTAGCCATGTTTTTAAAAAAATATTTCTGCCCTGGCCAGTGTGGCTCAGTGGTAGAGTGTCCGCCCACGCACCAAAGGGTCTCTGGTTAGATTCCCGGTCAAGGGCACATACCTGGGTTTGCAAGTCAATCCCAGGCCCTGGTCTGGCCTTGTGTGGGAGGCAACCAATCAATGTGTCTCTCATATCAATGTTTCTCTCTCTCTCTCTCTCTTTCCCATCTTCCCTACCTTCTACTCTCTCTAAAAATCAATGGAAAAATCCTTAGGCAAGGATTAACAAAAATAAATAAATTAATTAATTAATTAAAATATTTCTGGTTGGTATAGTCTACCATTTTAAAATTATTTGTGGGAGCCCAGCCAGTGTAGGTCAGTGTTGAGCGTCAGCCTATGAACCAGGTCGAGGTTAGATTCCCAGTCAGGCATATGCCTGGGTTGCAGGCTCAATCCCCAGTGTGGGGCATGCAGGAGGCAGCTGATCAATGATTCTCTCTAATTAATGATGTTTCAATCTCTCTCTACCTCTCCCTTCCTCTCTAAAATCTATAAAAATATATTTAAAAATTATTTGTGGTTTCAGGATATCTGGGATTCAGGACTGGAGAGTTCTCTTTAGTTTACTTGATTTTATTTTTGCATCATCTGAGTTTTGGAAATTATCCAAAGTTAGGAGAATTATCGAAGGCTTTTGGAAAATATACCTGGATATTTGGGTTTTGGGTCAGAGAATACTTTTCTTGTTTTATTCTGTGATCATCGGACTTTTATTGCTTTTTTTGTTTTCTTTTGTTAATCCTCACCCGAGGATATTTTTTCCATTGATTTTTAGAGAGAGTAGAAGGGAGGAAGAGAGACAGAGAGAGAGAAACATTGATGTGAGAGAGACACATCCAGTGGCTGCCTCCTGCATGCGACCTGACTGGGGCCAGGGATCGAGCCTGCAACCAAGGTACATGCCCTTGACCAGAATCAAACCCAGGACCCTTCATTCCAAGGGCCGATGTTCTATCCACTGAGCTAAACCCGCTGGGGCTATTACTATTTTTTAAAATTGATTTTAGAGGAAGGGAGAGAGAGAGAGAGAGAAACATGGATGTGAGAGATACATCAATCAGTTGCCTCCTGTACGAACCCCAATCAAGGTCCCTGACCAGGAATTGAACCTGAGACCTTCCAGTGCACAGCATGATGTTCCAACCAACTGAGCCACACTGGCCAGGGCAATCATCGTACTTTAAAGAAACCACACCATCATTTTATTTTAGCACCAGTTTTAGACTTACAGAATAATTGAAAAGATAGATTATAGTTTCCATATATCTACACCTAGTTAACCTGACTTTTGTAAATAATCTGGAGTTTGAGGTTTAGGGATTTTCCTGGATTTTGGAATTCCTGTTATTTATCTTGGTTTGGGCAGAGGGGTAAGAATCATCTGAATTTCGTAAATTATCTGGGGCCTGAGGACTATCAGAGGTTTGGAGTATCTGTGTGTAGGATTATAGAGCAGGGACCAGGATGCCCTATCTCCTTACCCCCCATTTCACATCCCTTCTTTCTGGGTATCATGGGGCACCTCTCTCCTGACAGCTGGAGGTGCCCAGATGTGGGTCCAGACCCGCCCCTCCCCTGGGGGGGGCTCCGCCTCCTCTCCTTGGGGGCTTTATGTCTTTCTCTCCCCTACCTGCAGGTCCCGAAGGCTGTAACCTGTTTATCTACCACCTCCCCCAGGAGTTTGGAGACACGGAGCTGACGCAGATGTTCCTGCCCTTCGGCAATATCATCTCCTCCAAGGTGTTTATGGATCGGGCCACCAACCAGAGCAAATGTTTTGGTGAGTACCTGTGGAGGGTGCCCCTTCCTGCTGGCCAGCCTGTCCCACTCCCCTGGCCCTGGAACAGGGGATGGGGGTGGGGTGGGAGAGGTTGGTCGTCCCTGAGACAAGCCTGGTCCAAAAGAATCGCTTTTTTTTAAAAAAAGAATCGCATTCATAATCAGAGTGAACACTTACTAAGCACCTACTGTTTGTTGGACACTTGCCATGCATTCTTTCTAAGACTCACTCATTCATTCATTCATTCATTCATTCATTCAATAAATACATACATTGTGTCCCTGCTGTGTGCCAGGTTCTGTGCTTGGCACTGGGCACATAGCAGTGAAGGAGGCCCACAAAGCTCTACCCTGATAAAGCTCACAGCCCTCCTGCACCGTCCGACAGAGCTTCCTGTGATGACGGAATGTTCTACATCCAGTCTGTCTGAGCCATCAGCCCCATGTGACTACCAAGCACTTGAAATGTGCCCAGTGTGACCAAAGGACTAAATGTTTAATTGTATTTAATTTAAAGTAATTTAAATTAAAATAACCACAAGAGCCAGTGGCTACCAAATTAGAAAGCACAGATTTTGGGGGAGGAGATGGAAATAAGGAATCATAGGATATAGGCCAGGGAATTATAAATAGTATGAAGAAAGATAGAGCTGACTGGTGATGAGCCAGCATGGGGAAATCTGTAGGAAGAGTGTTCTAGGAAAAGGCAACAGCATGTGCAAAGGCCCTGGGGCTGGGCCATGTGTGTTGGAGGAACAGTGAGGAGACCTGTGTGGATGGAACAGAGTGTATGATGGGGAGAGAGGGAGGAAGTAAGGGCAGGTGGGGGACAGGGACAGATCATGAAGGGCCTTGAACTTTAGGGAGGACTTCTTTGTCCCCAGAAACAAAGGAAATTAGGGCTCAGAGAAGCACTGACACTTGTTCAAATCACACAGCTGCAAAGAGGCAGAACCTAGATTAGAACTAGTCTGTTTGACTATAAAATCTGGACTGGTAACCCCACCCCGTCCTCTTTGAAAAGCTAATTCTTGACTGTTTAAGTGCCTTCTGTATATACTCAGTATCCAACCATAAAAGGGAAGAATTGTCCCAATTTACTGAGGGAGAAAAGAGAGGAAGGAAATGGTCAGGTGACACACTTGAAGTCACACAGCAAGTACAGAACTCCCACTAGTGCCCAAGCCCTCTTTTCTGTAACCTGCGTCCAGAAGGAAGAGGAAATTTCGGGAGGGAAACCCACCCAATCACTTTCAACCATCACGGGGGTCATATGCATTCTCTGAGCCTCAGTTTTCTCTTCTATATAATGAGCGGACTTAATGGAGATAAATACAATGATGTTAATCCCTCAACTCTAAATTCCCCGTGGCTCCCCATGGGCCTCAGCGAGACCCTTCAACCCTGAGCCCCAATCTCTCTGCCTGACCTCCCACTTGGCCTTTCACACAGAGCTCAGGTGACCTCATCTCCAAATGCTTGTGTGGTTCCCTCCCCCTGGAGGGTCCCTGGCCTCTGGGCTGCACATGGTCCCTGTGATGACCAAGAAGTAAGGGGCCAGAGTAGGGCCAGGCAGCCTTGAGCTGGCAGATGGAGGAGTTTTGGCTGGTGGCAGTTTAAGGAGGGGGAGGCTTAAGTATTTCTGATGGTCTTGGGGGAAACTCGGAGTAGAGAGACTGACAGAGACAGAGAGAAGGAGGGAGAGATGGAAAAAGAGACAAGACAAAGAAGCACACACACAGTCATAAGGACAGACAAGATCGCAGATGAATAGAGGTCTCAGAGGAGGCAAAGGGCTAACTAGCATCAGGGCCCAGAGGAGGCAGGCATCCTGGTGGGAGGGAGGACCTGGACCCCCAGAGGTAGGTCCCACCTGTCCCCAACTCCACAAAGGAAGTCTCCGCAGAGCAAACCCCAGGTAAGGAATGAGTGCCCCATCCCCAGAGGCACGCAGTCCAGGCCAGGGGTGCTGTGTGTCCTCTGGCAAGCCCTGCCACCCCCCGCCGCCGCCGGCTGCCTGCCCCTGCGAGCGCACACCCCGCCCCTAGGACCCCACGAGCCAGGAAGCCGAGTGGAAGACGCCCACGTTGCCCACCATCGCGGGTCCACCCCGGTCTCTGCAGGCTTCGTGAGCTTTGACAACCCAGCCAGCGCGCAGACTGCCATCCAGGCCATGAATGGCTTTCAGATTGGCATGAAGAGGCTGAAAGTGCAGCTGAAGCGGCCCAAAGATCCGGGACACCCCTACTGACCACGCCCACAGCCGCCCGGAGGCTGTGGGCTTGGCCCAGGTGAGCCGCCAGGCGGCCCCACCCGCCCCAACCCTGCCCGTGTTTTCTGCACCCTCCCTATTCCCCAAACCCTCTCCCGGCCTGGGGGTGGGAATGGGGCCAGGGGGGTGAGGTTGCTAAGGGGCCCCCAGGTTGGATTGTAAGGGACGGAGCTGGATGAAGACACTCCCAATCCCTGTCGTGGGAGGGTAGGATTGGGTTGGGGAAGTGGGGGAAGCCAGTGCTCACCAAGGGTGGTTCGGATCCTTCCTGGAGAACGCTTTGAAGGATAAATAGAAATTTGCCTGAGGGGCCAGGTTGGGAATGGGGTGGGGAATGTTGTGGGGATGGGCTTCTCTCCTGTCCTATGACTCCCAGCTGGGCCCCTCTCTCAGCTCCTCTATTTGGTATAGTTCATACCCAATGGGTTGATGGGAAGGTGGGATTTTGCCCCGCCCCCCATGCCAGAAAAAATGTCCCCCCAAACAAATCCCCAAGAGTGTATTTTGATTTGACATCAGAGCAAACAATTTTATCAACTCATTACCTTTTTTAGGATATGAATAGTGAGCCTAAGGGATCCATGAGGAAACTAACTACTGACCTCAAGCTTCCGTGAGCCTCATCTGTGAAATGGGCTCATAAAAACACCTCCCCTAGAGGCAGTAGGGAGGACTCACACAGGGGATGCAGTGTTTTCCCAGTTGAGCCTGGGATCCACCACCTGTAAATTCTTGATAACTCCTATTTTTTTTCTTTTTTAATCACCATTGCCGTCATCAGAAAGCCTTGCCTGGGGTCTGGCGTAAAGTAGGTGCTCAGTTAGGGGACGGAGGTAACTTTCAGACCCTGTCAGGTCAGCACCCACAGATTTGAGGGTGTGCAGTCAGAGTCCTGCATCTTGGAGCTCACATTTGGAAACCTGCCACGTTTGGAAACCAACTCACAGGCAACCCACACACTTTTAACATGCTGGGATAGCACATCTTTCCTGAGCACCTACTATGTGCTAGGCACTGTTTCCAGTGTTTGGGGACACAGCTTCGCATGAACAGAAACTTGGGGGTGGGCGGGGGGAGGGGAGAAACTGCCTTCCCGGTGCTCCAGTGGCAGGCAGCAGGGGAGAGGAGACACAAATGAACAGGAATGTTTGTCCCAAGTTGCCAGATAAGGACACGCACTTGGTTACCCTAACTCTGTTCCATGCCAGGTTTGTCAGCCTCCAAACTCCAAAATGGACTCTTTCTGAAAAGATTAGGAATCTTGGGGTTCTAGACCCCAGCCTGGCCAGGGCAAGGGGGTGGATGGGAGGGGAGGTCCTTTGCCTTTGTGCCCGGCTCAGAGCTCCCTAACGCCCTCCCTTCTCCACCAGGTGAGGGGCCTTCCACCCCAGGAGGGTTTCCCCGCTTCCAACTGATCCAGGACTTTTCCGTAAATTACAACCGAGTTTGGACACCAGCCCTCCCTCTCCTCTCCTGTCTCCCCTGAGCCCCCTTCCCAAAATGTGAAGCGCTGCCGGAGAGGGCAGGGGGCTGAGGAGCTCACCACTTCCTCCTGGGAGATTTCCTGGCTCCTCACCCCCCACAACCTTGGTGGCTTCCCCAAACTAAATCACCACTTTTTCTATATATATATATGCATATATATAGAGAGAGCTATAGACAGTATATATATTTTTTGAGTGTAGATCATGGGACCAAACTTTTCTGACTTCCTTCCACCCAAGAGAAGGTGACCCTAGGCTGGTCACTCAGCAGGGACATAAGAAGGGCTGAGGCTGGCCGGACAGCCCCGTGTCTCCTCACCTCCCGGCTGTATCGTCAGACCAGGGTGCCAGAGAAGCACTGGGAGTCATCAGCCAACCGATATACCTCCAGGACTTTTGGCCGCTGCCACCGACGATTCTCTCGGGCCTATGGGCTCAGCCGGCTTGAGTGTCCCTGGTCCTAGCTGCAGCTTCCGGGACCCCGAACTTCCCTCCCTTTTCCCAGGGCCCTGCCTTCCCCAGCACAAAAGAGAGCCCCTGGCCTCCCCCAGCCCTTTCCCCCCAGTCATAGCCTTACTCATGTGACCAATAGCCCTTAGCTTTCCGTCAGGGGTAGATGGGGCCGGTGGGAGCCCCTCTCCTCCTACCCCTCCCAAGGGCAGGCAGCCAGCCCTCCCTGCCTTCGGATCACCAGCCTGGAATTCACGGTCTCATAACCAAGATTGCCACGCTCGTTGGACAAGCCCAACCTGCACTGGCCAAGCACCCCTTTGCCGAAGATACCTCTTCAAAGAATTTTTTTTTAACGTTGATCTTTCTGAGCAGGTACAAAGAAGAAAAGAGAAGAAAAATGGGGGTGGGGGGAATCAAACAATGGATTTTTGTTTCCTAGCTGGGGCTGGGAGGGAGATCCTGTGGGGTGCCTCTCTATACCTACCCAAACCATGAAAACCCACCTTGAAGCACAGAGTCAAGTTCGTTTGGTCGTCCAGTGGAGCCTATTGCCAAACGAGTACCAGAGAACTTAATAAGCTCAAGAAAAAGAATTTTTGGAAAAAAGAAAAACCCACAGCATTCCCTTTTGTTTCTACCAAAATGTGTTGACCAACCCAGAAAAAAAGAAAAGAAAAACACATAGTAAAAAAAAAAAAAAAAAAAGGGAAAAGAAAAAAAAAATCTTCGGACCAACTTGTTTCGATATTCCAGAGTTTGATAATTGTTCCAAGACATTCTCTAGTGTGCCTGTATCCCGTGCGTCTGCGTGTGCAAGCGTGTGCTCAGGGGCCAAGAGGGGGCCTCATCTGCGTCTCCGGTGCCCACCAAGCTCCCGCCAGGCCTGGCGTGCAGTGGTGTGTGTCCTGATCCATGTTTACTGGCTGTAAATACCATTTTTATACTCCACACCGAAGATCTACATGATTTGTACAATGTACTTTATTTCTGCTACTAGTAATTTCATGAAGTTTCAACTTGCAAACCAACTTTTGGAAACAAACCGACACACACACACACACACACACACACACACACAAACAAGGCAAGAAAAGGACTTAGAAGAAACTCTGGGCTGACCAATGTGGTTGGAGAGGTCCTTGTCACTGTGGTGTGTTTCAGGTGAGAAGCTACGAGCATCATCTTTATGTCCAAAACACCTCTCTTTGGTCTGGAAAAACTGAAAGTTTATTTAATAAAAGTTTTACTTGCTAAAGGACCGAGTCCTCCTTATTTGCCCTTTTGCGTCAATAAAGACCAAGTGCATCTGGCCCCACTGAGTTCCTGGGCCAGAGAAAAATTCAGATTTAGAGTTGGGAGATGCAGGAGGAGATAATCCAAGAAGGCAGGTCTGAAGTTCCCATAGCCAAGATTTCATCTGCTCCATCCAGAATTTGAGGAAGTGAAGTGTTCTTTCTCGGGAAGAGCAGGTGCCTGTGTCTCTTGATTCCCACATTCATTCAGTCAGCCCACAAATGTTTCTTGAACACTCACTGCACATCTGTCTCTTTGCCGGCCACCAGACACAGCAGTGACCAGAGGGCTTTAGTCTCTGCCCTCACGGAGGCAGCCCAGGAGAGGAGACTCTATACAACACACTTTTTTTGTTTTGTTAATTCTCATTCAAGGGTATTTTTTCCATTGCTTATTTTTAGAGGGAGTGGAAGGGAGGGAGGGAGAGAGAAACATTGATGTGACAGACATATCCATTGGTTGCCTCCTGCACATACCCCAACTGGGGCCAGGAATTGAAGCTGCAACCCACGTATGTGCCCTTGACTAGGAATCAAACCCAGGACCCTTCAGTGCTCAGACCAATGCTCTAATCACTTAGCAACACCAGCCAGGACTATACAGTACAACACATTTTTTAAAATTGGGGTAAAATTCACATAACCTAAAATTCACAATTTTTATCATTTTAAAGTGTATAATTCAGTGGCATTCAGTACATTCACAAGATTTTGCAGCCATGACCTCTGTCTAATTCCAGATCATTCCAGCACCCCAAAAGCAATTTCATCTCCCTTAGCAGTCATTCCCCAGCCCCTGGCAACCACTAATTCATTATCTCTGGATTTGCTATTCTGGACATTTCACAAAAATGGAATCTCACTGTGTGGCCTTTTGTGCCTGGCTTCTCTCACTGAGCATCATGTGTTCAAGGTCCATCTGTGTTGTAGTGAGTGTCAGCGCCTTTTTCTTTTTCATGGCTGAGTAATACTTCAGTGTGGATGGACCACATCTTGTGCATCCATTCACCCATCAGTGGACATTTGGCTTGTTGCCAGCTTTGGGCTATTGTAAATAGTTCCACGATACATGTATACGTTTTTGTTTGAACACCTGTTTCAGTTCTCTTGGGTAGATATTTATGAGCAGAAATGCTGGGTCATGTGGTAATTCTGTGTTTCGCTCTTTGAGGAACCACCCAACCATTTTCCATGACAACTGCCCCATTTTATGTACCCACCAGCAGTGTGTACGGGTTCCAGTTTCTCTGCACCCTTGTCAGCACTGTTATGCAATGATTTTGAATTGGAATGTTGAGGGAGAAAGTCCCCAGTTGAACCTGTAACCAAAGACCCAGAAGTGCCCTGAGGAAGTGATGACTGAAGGAGATAAGACCAGAGAGATGATGTGGCTTTGGCTCCTGCCCCACTCCAGTGGAGGCCTCAAAAAAAAAAAAAATCCTGACACGTGGGGTGAGGACATGCGGCTCCAGAGGAGGGCCTTGGATGGGGGTATGAATAGCGGGGTTAGCCACACCCAAGCTGAGCCTCTTGAAGTTAATGGGAGTCATACTAACCCCTCGATTTAATGAGCTACTTCATATCCTGCCAAATACTTTGCAAAACCATGTGTCTTATTGGTAATTCATCCCATTTTATGGTTGAGGAAACTGAGGCTCAGAGACATGGCGTGCCTTGCTCTAGCACCCACAGAGAGAACAAGGCCTGGCTGGGATACGAGCTGGGAGGAGGAGTCTGAGTCTGCCTAGCAGGGTTTTTTGGGTGGAAGGAACAGCCTGGGCCAAGGCTCCCAGGCTTGAGATGGTGTGGTGGTTGGACAGTTGGCTAAGACTGCAGCACTGGGCAAAGAAACAGGTGCAAAGGTGACAGGGGCCAGATTACAGAGTCCTTTCCTGATCATGTACATAACTGTGTGCCAGACCTTGTCCCTTCCCAGGCCTCTGTCAAGGAGAGAGGTGGACAAGAAAATAAAAGTACTCACCTCTGCAAGAAAGAGTAATTCCAGAGCATGCTAAAAGTTGTGACCACAAGGAGATTAGCAAATCTGGGACATTACCTTAGGGCGAGGGGGAATCACAGAAGGGCTTTGAGCAGGGGAAGGGCATGATCAGATTGGGATGTTAGGAGGATACCTGGGGTACCTCCAAGCTGATGAGGTGTAAATTGATGCTCTGGAGGATAATTTGGCAGGATAATATTCCTTTCAAGCATTTATTAAGCACTTACTATTTACCAAGTATTGTTTTAAGCCTATGTCATCTAATACAGTAGGCATTAGCTACATGTGGCTATTTAAATTTAAATTATTATAAACTAGAGGCCCTGTGCACAAAATTCGTGCACTGGAGGGGGGGCGTCCCACAGCCCGGCCTGCACCCTCTCGCATGCAGTCCAGGACCCCTTGGGTGGGATCATGTCTAACCTGGCAGTCAGACAACCCTCTCTTGCAGTCTGGGACCCCTCACTCCTTACCGCCCACCTGGAGTGGAAGCAGGAGAGGCTCCCACCACTGCCGCTGTGTTCACCAGCTGTAAGCCCGGCTTCTTAGCATAGGGATGGTGCCGGGAGCTTCTCCTGCCTCCGAGGCAGCACTAAAGAGCAGTGAGCCCGGCTTTTGGCTGAGCAGAGCTCCCACAGGGGAAGCACACTGACCACCAGGGGTCAGCTCCTGTATTGAGCGTCTGCCCTCTGGTGGTCAGTGCACATCATAGCGACCAGTTGTTTCGCCGTTCGGTCGATTTGCATATTAGCCTTTTATTTTATAGGATTCTCTTCCTCAGTCATACTAAACCACATGTTAAGGCTCAATAGCCACATGTTCATCACTGCAGAAAGTTCTACAAGGCAGCATTGGCCTAGGTGTTTTATGTGACTTAACTCACTTAGCCTACCACCATCCTGGGAGTATGTTCTATTAATAGCCCAAATTTATGAGTTAGTAAACTGGAGCCCAGAGAGGTTAAGTGACCTGCCTGAGGTGCACAGCAGCAGTTGAATCCAGGCTCTCAGGTTTGTCTCTTAACTGCTGCACTGCTCTGCTTCCCTGTGCTGTATAGTGACTGAAATTCAAATGTTAGATTGTAAGTCAAGTTACTATTTATAATAGTTTAAGCTTTTAAATTTAACTCAAAGACTCAACGTTGGTAAACGTTTAGAATGTGCATCCTTACAATACGAATGTCTCCATAGAGTGAACTGCTTTGTGCTTGGAATGGCTGAGCCATGGCTGTGGTGTAGGTTTTCATCCAGGGGGATAGGCTAAGTGGCACCCAGGGTGTATCAGTTAGCTATTGCTGCATGAAAATTTTAGCAGATTAAAACAATACGCATCCATTAACTCACAGAGTTTCTGTAGGTCAGGAATCTAGGAATGACATAGCTGGGTGGTTATGGCTTAGGGTCTCTCATGAGGTCACAGTGAAGACATCAGCTAGGGCTGCCTTATCTGAAGGCTTGACTGGGGCTGGAGGAGCCCCTACTAGCTGGTTTCCTCATGTGGCTGTTGGCAAGAGACCTCAGTTCCTCTCCATGTGGACCTCTTGAACCCTGCCTTTTGTGATTATGTCCAGGTCACACCCCCTCACCTCTGCCTTATTCTATTTGTTAGAAGCGAGTCACTAAGTTTAGCTTACAGTCATGGCAGGCATACACACCAGGAGCTGGGGACAGAGGCCCACACAGGGAGCGCTCTCATGGTGGAATACCATGTGGCTGTTAAAGAATGGAATCATCTCCAGGTCATACTGTTAGATGGAAACAAGAGAGATGCAGAAAAATGCACACAGCAGGAAATAATCCATGAGGGATGTGTGTGTGTAGCTTCTAAAAAATGCATAAGTATACATTCTCTCTGGGGCCATGTGTATGCTTGTAAGAAAGAGAGGGAAGGCCCTGGCCACTTTGGTTCAGTGGATAGAGCGTCGGCCTGCGGAATGCAGGGTCCTGGGTTCAATTCCAGTCAAGGGCATGTACCTCAGTTTCAGGCTCCTCCCTGGCCCACCCAGCCCTGGTCAGGGCAGATGCAGGAGGCGACCCATCGATATGTCTCTCTCACATCGAATCAATGGGAAAATATCCTCGGGTGAGGATTAACAAATATGTATATATTAAAAAAAGAAAGAGAGGGAAGGGCTAGAAGTCTCTTCACCAGAAGGAAGGTTCTGGTTTTGCAGAGTGAGGAGCTGGGGGCCAGGATGAAGCAGTGCTGCAATCTTTACAAGGTCTACCTACATATATTCAGGTATTATTTAGGAAATTAAGAATTTATTTTAAATACATTTTCAAAAGATGAATGGAAAAGGCAGGTATGAGAGGTATTTGGGGGAAAGTGCCTACATTTAACACAACCGCCCCCACTGCCCTGTGGAGAGGCCTGTGTAACAAGGGCCAACAGCCAGTCAGGAACTGAGTCCGACCAACAACCACATGAGCTTGGAAGTGGAGCCTTTCCCAGTTTGGCCTTCAGAAGAGACCCCAGCCCAGCTAACACCTTGATTGCAGTCTGTGAGAGACCCCGAAGAAGAGAACCAAGCTAAGTCTTCCTGGATTCCTGCCCACAGACACTATGAGATAAATGTTTTAACTCACTAAGTTTTAAGGTAATTCATTATGCAGCAACTAGAGGCCCGATGCACAAAATTCATGCAAGGGGCTCGGCCCTCACAGCCACGGCTTCGTCTGGAAGGTCGTCCGGAAGGATTTTCAGAAGGTTGTCGTTTGGCTGTTCAGTCCAATTAGCATATTATACTTTTATTATTATAGACTAGAGGCCTGGTGCACAAAATTCGTGCATGGGGGGTGGGTCCCTCAGCCCAGCCTGCACCCTCTCCAATCTGGGACCCCTCGGGGGATGTCCGACTGCCAATTTAGTATACATTCTCTCTGGGGCCATGTGTATGCTTGTAAGAAAGAGAGGGCCCGATCCCGGGATTGGGCCTAAACCGGCAGTCAGACATCCCTCTCG